AAAAATATTGCTGATTTTGTCCAGTAAATATATATATAACAGCATATATATATATATTAATGGATTATTGTTTAAGCTCTAATGGAAGCTATAAAATAAGGATTTCTATATCAGACTTGAAGGATGTCTTTTTTGTTTGTTGTTTTCATAATATATATAACCCATATGAGCCAAATCTTTATCCATCATGGCCTGAGTGGATGACACAACAGTGGGAATAATATTTAGGGCGGCACAATATGGTGAAAACAATCATATTGTTATTGTTATTTTGACAGCTGTTGCCATCGTGATATGATTCATGATTAGTAGGAATGATCATTATTGAATCACAATTTTCATTTTTACTCAATACAACTATTAAAAACATGGTGATGGGATATTTGCTGTATGTTTTGTAGACAAGATTTGTAGGCCCGGACATCTCTGCAGCCCTACAGTTCTTCATTATAATGCTGTTTGTCACACACTTTACCTTTTATCAAAAAATGTTCTTCTGTGATTTTGGATATTGCACCATGTTTTGATTTCAATAATATTTTGAATAGTTGTGCAGCCATAATAACAAAAAACCTTGTCTCACTTTTTGTGGCTGGAGTTGTCTTTGTTGCTTATCCACTATTGCGACAGTGTGTTTTTTTGCAGAGATTTTATCTACAGGTCGTAGCAGATGACCTGTCTGACACACATGCTCAAACACACACAAAGAGCTCCTGTATGTGTTCTAAAGGATGTCTACTTTAGTCGATCACAGTATATATGAAAATGAAAAAAAAGTCAGTGAAATAACAGGATTTCATAATCCGGTTAATCCCATAATAGTTGATTACTCTGACGGAAGATGCCACTAAGACCCTCCCCTTTCCCCCCTCCTCACACCCACACACACACCTTGTAATGCTGACACACCCTTCTAGGTGTGGGTACGGGGTGGTGCAGAGCCAAAGAGATTAAGATGTGAGTCAGTGGCATGCACTATCATGCTCTATCTCTGACACACACACACACACAGACTGAGTGGCGGTTACAGTGAGTGAATATGTGTGGCCTGGGGATACAGAATTGTGCCTTTAGATAAACAAATAGGTTTCTGTGTGCCACTTGGCCCTGAGTTACGCCAAGTATCTTGGCTCAAAAGGCCTGCTCTAGATATCTGACACTCCATATTGTGTCTCTCTCACTATTAATTTGTGTTTGTGTGTGTGTGCTGGTTCCTTTATTGTCAGTGACTTGAGGAACCCGGCATCATTTCAGACCTCTGACTGATATGAGCTTTGAATGATTCATGAGGTCTCTCTGAGTCTAGTGAATTAATATAGTCAGACAAGTGAAAGCAATTTCACTGCAAACGCCAGGCTGGATATTGTTTCAAATGTTTTTTCCCCAGACTCATTTTATTTTGTGTGAATCCATATGTTTGTGTTTGTTTATCATTAAGTGTGTGCAGGCCAAGGTTATTGTCGTTAACTAAAACTAAACTAAAAACTAAAACTAGATGTGAAAAAAACATTTATTTAATACAAGCAGTTTTTAACTGGTTATGAAACAGTCTCTGCTACTGCGTCTATGTGACCTACATACAGCACCCAAGACCATCAGCGAGAAGATTGGCTATTTCTATATAGTTATTCGTAATGCCTGGGTTGGATGTAGTCGAATTTGCCTCGTAATCAATGAAACAAAGCAGTGGAAGCACTACTGCTTTTGTCCCAAATCCTTGTTGCTGATTTAACTAAAATTAAAATAAAAGTTTTACTTTAAAACAAATGTTAGAACTAACTGAAACTATATAACTAAAATCAAATAAAAATATACAGGAAATGTCTTTAGTTTTAGTCTTTGCTGATTTGGTCAAATTTGTCAACACAACAAGCATGAGGAGGCATTGGTGCATATGTTTACATGACTGTGAGTCAATATGTTTGTACTGTAATACCTATTCTGACCTTCTTAAAGCCCTGACAAATCCACCCTCATATTATAATAAAAAGTCAACTTAAACCAGCAAACTCACTCTGGAAGCTAAACTGAAACTAAACTGAATTGAAAACAAAAATTTGACATTTTCAACCACTTCTCTGGCTCCCAATGGGGGTTCCTGTGACTTTCCTAGAGGTTAGGATCAGCAGGATCTGGGTCTGCTCAGAGGTCTCCTCCCTGTTGGACATGTTGAAAATACCTCCAGAGGGAACCACGCAGGAAGCATTTTAATCAGATCCATAAACCACCTCAACTGCCTCCTTCTCTACAAAAAAAGACGGGTTATTTTACGCCTTCCGGATGTACAAACTTCCCACCCTGTCCCCAAGGATAGAGCTCAGGCACCCTGCAAATGAAACTGCTTTCACCGACTGTGTCTTCAGCCTTATTGTCATTCTTGGGAGTGATGCTCCGCTGCGATAAGGTAGGGGAGTTTGCATGACCACTTCATCATGGTGGAGGGTTTATGTATCCCTGTGACCCTGGGAACTGTGTTGTTGGGGGCAACAGCTCCTTGTAGGGTCTCCCAAGGCAAATTGGTCCAAGGTCAGGGGCCAGATGAAGAGCAGTTCTAAGAGCCTAATGAATCAGCCATGACGGGGCAGTGCAACCTTGCCTGGAGCGGGGAAGTCAGGGCCCTTTGTAGATTTCAGCTGTAGGAGTGTAGTGTGTAGTCAGCTATTTAGCATGTGAAGGCAGGCTGACTCCTGGTTCTGGAAACTGGTTTTTGTTTATTTGTCAGTCTTTTATATCAGCATGTTTTTTGTTTGTTTTTTCTGATGCCTGATGCAAATTTCTGATAGACGGCCTTGAGGTTGTCCACAATCCCTTTACTTCTTCTTCTTCGAGCTCAGGACACTTGGCTTCCGCTGTATCCTTGGTAACCAGTAAATCCCTTTCGACAACAGTGCGTAATGTATTGAATTTGTGAGGGTAATGCAATTGGGCTGATCAGATTATGCAAAAAACATCTGAATCATCTGGCGAGAATGCTGACGGAGATGCACAGACAGGAAATGAGGAAATGCCATTTAGACTGATCGAGGTGAACGTGTGCAATCTCCTTCCTAAGAATTAAAACTGAGATAGTTGGCTGGTTTTTGTGCTGATCTGCTGGTAAATACATGTTCCTTTTAGCATGGATGATATGAAATGTTACACTGTTTTGCTTGAATGTGAAGAAGTGAAGTAGCAAAAGTAACAAAATGTTTTTTTTTAACTAGTAATTAAAATCGAACACTGATTGTTTAAAGTACAATAAAAAGGCTAATTAACTTCCCACTGATGGACTCGGGTGTGTAGCCATACAGTAGACACAACTCAGTATCTTACTAAAACTACCTCCGTTAGTCATAAATAAATAAGTAGGGCACTAATTAATACTCTGCATCGATTCTCTCTGTCCTCTTGATGACACTTAAATAGTTATATGGAATGTGAGGCCTTGGCCTGATTAGACAGTTCATTAAACTCTGTCCCTCACCAAGTCACTGTATGAAGTGATGGCCTCATTTTCATGTTAAGTCTTTAGGTTTTCTTTTCTTTTTAGTTGAGTAAGCTGTTATTAGTTCTACGAATATCATTTTCAAAATAATCAACTCAATAACATTGCAGCTTTGAATTATTTTAGTTCTTGTGTTAAAATGTGTCTGCAAGTAAAAATGGATGGCAGCTTGTGGAAGAGCCGGTGAGGAAGCTGGTTTCATAATCATTGAGATAGAAACATTGGGGTTTAACATATGGCGGACTCCTCGGTAGATATAAGTGGCTAATTTTAAAGTAACAAAAACACAACAGTTCTTATTTTCAGGTGATTAAACACTAATGAAAAGATACCTATGTTGTACCATTTCTGACAATAGATCCTCAATGTTACGCACTGGACCTTTAAAAAGGCATCTACTCCTTCTTCCTCATTAAAGATCCCAGAATCTATTAATACGTAAATGTTGTTCCTGCTGGACACAAGATGTCTCCTGCTTCACCGTAAAGTCCAGTCTCAGTCTCAGTGTCTGTGCACTGGTGGCTGCAGGTCTCTCCATCACACTTGCATAAGTTGCACACTGGTCGTGCACGTAAATCGTTCTGCACAGTGAAGCTCAAACATCAAACCGTAGGAAGAAGAAGAAAAACATATTTTTGAGTTTCAATGCATTTCAGTTTGAAACAATATTTTATTACAATGTCAAAGTGAGGAATTAAAACAAACTGGGCATGTACAGTTCAAGATCATCTGTCATTCGTGCAGGCTTTGCAAGTCATTACTTGGCAGTAAAAGCTGCGTGTCCTCGCTTGTGTCTTCAACTGTTTGGCAAAATAATTTAATTTTTTCTTAACTACTCCTGCCGGGGTGATTGAGTACATTCAGTCTTTCAGCAGAAACGCCCTGTTTTATAGTCACACAGATACACCCATTCACAGCTGGGATAGACAGCCTAGTGATAAGCATGAAATGGACAATTTACTCGTTCAGTTTGAGATTGGGTGTTCTGCTCAAGGGCAACTTGATGGGAGCTGTTGAGGCCAGAGAGAGCATTACATTGTTCACTATATGGACCTCTAAAATGAAATGCTCACTTTTCTAACTTCCAGGCTATATTTGCCTGATACGCAGGAACGGAAAAGTAGAAACGAGGTATTAGTTTTTATATTACAGCACTTAAATTCAAATGATGTTAGAGGTTAACAGTGTGAGATTAGTGGAGCTTTTTGGAGGAGATTGAGGCAGGTGAAAGCTGCTTCAGCATTATAATCAGCCTTTAGATTTACTGCATTAACGTGGGACATTAAGTGACAGTGAAACTGGGTCAGTGTCATAACAAGTCATTTAAACCTCATTTGACTTTCGTTTGTGTGTGTGAACATATGTTTATGTAATTGGGTTTTATGCTCAGCAGTTCAGTTTCCTCTGTCTCATTTTAAGTGAGTGGGCTTGTAACAACGGACATGTGTTTCATTCATTAACCTATGCACCTGCCTGTGTGTGTTTGTGTGTGTGCGTATGTTCTCCTCTCCTACAGTGATGCCAACCTCACAGACGTTCTGTCTGACTCAGAGGAGTGCGATTTGGGCAGTCTGGAGCGTTTGGAGCGCGGCAGCACAGACACTCTAGCCAATGGCTGCCGAGCCGACTGTGAGGCCGCCAAGAGGCTGGCCAAGCGCCTCTATCACCTCGAGGGCTTCAAACGCTGCGATGTGGCCAGACACCTGGGCAAGAAGTGAGCGCGCGCACACACACACAGTAGCACATACGCACACACAAGATGACTGATGGACTGACAAATCACCAGAAACAGAGGAAAACATGTTGACATAGTTACATATGGTCAGTATTTGAAATGCACACAGGTATAGATGAGACAGATATAATGGACACGTAGACGCACATGATTGATTTATAATCAAACACATCTGCACAAGCTTAATTTATTCTTAACTGGAAGAGCTTTCTCTTATCCAGTGGTGCTAAAAAAACATTTATATAACACTTTCATACGTCTTCAGTGCCACGTTGATGTGCTGATGCTCTCTTTCTGTCTCCCTGCAGTAACGAGTTCAGCCAGTTGGTGGCATCAGAGTACCTGAGTTTCTTTGATTTCTCCGGCCTGTCGCTTGATCGAGCCCTGAGGTAATGCACAGTCAGCACTTGGAAGTGATGAGTGTGTGATGTAGACATCGATACACGCGCATGCTTGTGTGTATTCTTCACTTTCCCTCTTCACAAGGCATTAGCTTTGTGCTAATCAAGCTGTCGTGTTGAGTACAGTTAGCCAGTGTAGCTGACAGCTGCGGAGTACATCACTGCCGTGTACCTGACATGGTGCTGTCTCAAACTGCTGCCTTCAGCTCAGGCTGTTCAGCTAAGAGGCCTCAGCGTGGGCCAGATTATCTTACCACAGTTTGAAAGTAACATGTAACACACTAAAAGTCTGGTTTAAGGAAACTGCAGTAATCTGACAGCATAGAAATTCTTTTAATCTTTATTCTTTTCTGAAACTTTAAAATGGAGTGGGAGTATTAATGTAGGGTTGTAGCTTATGATTATTTTTAATCATAGGTTAATCATTAAGTGTATTCAATGATCACAATTTCTCAGGGTCCATGGTGACATCTTCAAATGTCATATTTCTTCCAACCTAATGAAAAAATGTAGAATGATATATAACAAAAATAGCAAATTCTCCCATTTAAGCAGCTAGAACCAGCAGTATTTAGTGCTTTAGCTTAAAAAAACAAACTGAAACAATTATTTGATTATCAAAATAGTTGTAGATTATTTTTCTTACAATAGACTACTTAATAATTAATCTAATTAATCTACATCAATGTTTCTCCTCAATGTGAAAGTGAGACTTCAACCTGTAAGAAACCTGTTGACTCTGGCAAACCGTTACAAAATCAGATCCATTTATCTGCAGTTCAAAAGTGCAGCTAGTTCACAGAGACAAAAAGATGACACAATCCCTCTTTTGTGAGAATAAAATACAGAGTACATGACCACAAGGCTGTTATAGTTTAAAGAATAAAATGTTTCATAATATTTCCAACAAAGCTGTCAGCTCTATTCTTCCACATATTCTGTTTACTGCCAGAAGTGATTTAAATCATATATTTTCCCGAGATGCGTTACTGGGAAACGTTTGACCTCCTGTTGACCTCGTGGTTTGATTTGTGTGTGATAGGAACTTCTTAAAGGCCTTTCCACTGATGGGAGAGACCCAGGAGAGAGAGAGGGTCCTTGTTCATTTCTCCAGACGCTTCTGCCACTGCAACCCACAGACACCCACCTCTGAAGGTCAGAGTCGTGAGGGTGGTGGTAATGATGATGATGACACCGATGGTAATGAGAAACAATATTATCAAGAGAAAACAAAATGTCATAACAGCTGTACAGAATATTACACCATAAATATGAATTGATTTTACATTATTATTGCACTTTCCCATGTTGACCAAACACCTATGTAGGGTTCCCACACATCCTGGAAATTTAAAATAGTTTTCCAGTGATGGAAACACCTGGAAATTGATTAATATGACCAAATATCCTGGAAATTATCTATGTTGTCCTGGTATGACTCTTCAAAGTGGGTTTACCAGACTGACCTGCAGCAGTCTCTTCAGCCTTTGGTCCATTTTTCTGGAGCTGCTAGCGGAGAGAAGCCCAGCGGAAATACTGTAGTCATATTTACATGCACACAGCCTATTAATGCTTAAATTGTGGGTGATAAATACATGCACACCGATATTAATTGTACACAACACTTTCACTTTCTTCTTCCTATTTTAATTGGCTTGTTACGGTTAGTGGAAAACTGTAGTAAACTGTAGTAGATTCACCAGAGACCGCTCCACTCCACTGAGACTGCAGCACAAAAAAAATTGGCTGTGGTGAGAACAGCCGAGCGTACCACGAAAGCTAAAGCGGAGTGTTAAATGAGGAGTAAAACTGGGGTTATATATGTCAGTTCTAGGTCTCCCAGTAAATTATATAACTGTTTGTGAGCTAGTGCTGTCCTGTATTGTCAAGAAAAACTATTTTGGACAGGTCCTTAAAAAGAGTGGGAAGCGTATTTACACTGCAGCGCTACAGTTGCTGCTACTTGCACCAACCTTTAAATGTAACCGTGATAGATGTAAATACAGAATCAATTCAGATCAGATACAGCACTAACTGTCTGTTGGCTATTCATGATGTGTGTCTGCATGTACAATAAAGAAATGTGTGGCATTGTATACATTAATTTGTGTTTGACATTTAGCTGACTTCGTCCTTGTGTATTGTCTTGTTGCAGATGGAGCCCACACATTAACCTGCGCCCTTATGCTGCTTAACACCGATCTACACGGACATGTATGTACCATCTGCAGGTTTCCCAATTCCCTTAATCCTCCTGCAAAACAAAAACTATGAACACAATCGTTTGTCAGGAATGGCACGTCTCAGTTCACATCTATTCCTTTCTTTCTAGCCTTTCCTCTCTCTTCGTCTTTCTCTCCCCTTCCATGGCCTACTTTCTGACCTGTTTCTGTCTCTCCTCTCCTCGGATAGTCTCATCTGTTCAGTTTTAAACTGGAGCACTGTGGTCGGGGCAGCATAACACGATCAGTATCATAGGCCCTGTGCTTTGCTTTTCCTTGACCCTCCTGCTCCACTCGACTCTGTCCCTGCTAATAGTACATTTAGTGAATATCCCTCCTCTAACTAATGTCCTTTCTCTCTTTTCAATTTCCTTTCCCTCCCTTTCATATCCTTCCCCTGCTAACCAAATCTGGCCCCCTGGTCTCTCTCTGCCCCCGCAGGTGGTAAGTATGATTATAGTAGTAGTCTTGTCGGCTAACAATAGAAGTCAGAGTTTTAATACTGATATCATAATGCACACACAATGATATGTTTTTTTTAAATAATTGTTGTTCAGTAGCACAAAAATATCTGGCTGCTTTAATATTTTTACCAACGAGAAATGGCCAGTAGCTGATTTGGGGGATTTTTGAGTATGTTGTATAAAAATACATGTAGCCTAATGTGTAAAAAGAGTGGGTGCAATAAGCTAAAGCTTCAGCCTACATCTTTTCTGTTAGTATAAGTTGCTTTGCTTTGTTTTGATTTATTTATTTACTTGGGTTGGGTTGTATAAGTTGAAATGACCGAAATAAACTAAACTAAAATTATTTATTCTAATTCAAATAAAATGCAGTTTTCGTATTAGCTGTGAGAATTGATCTGTCCTTTTTCCCCTCTGCAACGTTTAAAATCAAAACATCTATATACATTTAATACATTTAAACAATGTGAACAGCAGATTCAGTTTTGAATACATTTTATAATATAGGATTTTAACTTAGTAAAAGGGCACTGTCCTGCTACCTTTGCATGAAAATATAAAATATATATATCATTCATCCAGTTGGATTGTGGCTGTGAACCACGTAACCTATTAACAATAATGAAATAACAATAGTATATACTTCCCATCTGGAGCTTTGTTTTTGGTGTTTTTCCCTAGAAAAGGGGAAATTTTTTTGTTAAAGACTAGGAAAGGTTTGGTAAGCTGATACTGGATAAGCTTTAATAGAAGTGGAGCCTCACGCACCACCACCAGTAGAACCAGCAGTGTCACACTGCCACCCAGTGGACGCTTGCAAAACTGCATTCAGATTTGAGCATTTAATAGTGGGTTGTAATTATTAACTACTCGTTATATAACATTATATTTATTGTATTTGATTAATTATAATATTTGTTATCTGGGTACTGAGCTCAGTATAAGATTGGCTAATTCGGCTTCACACAAAAAAAAAATCAAGGTGAAATATGATCTTAAACTTGAACTGTTTTGTTTCTATTTGTCTGTTTCTCCTCTCTTCAGAACATTGGGAAGAAGATGTCTTGCCAACAGTTTATCAGTAATCTAGATGGCCTCAACAATGGGAAAGACTTTCCTAAAGAGTTACTGAAGGTACAGACGCCCTCCTGAGAGAGGACAGCTCAATCTTTGTCTCTTTCCTAACCTCAGAATTGAAGTATATCTTCACATTCCCACTCTGTAGTGAAGTAAAAGAAATCCAAGAAGACAACAAATGTTTAGAATTTCTCTCTTTTATTGCCTCACCCACACAGGTCTTGTATAACTCAATCAAGAATGAGAAGCTTGAGTGGGCAGTGTGAGTATGCATTTTGTGTTCATCAAAAGGAAAAGTATTTGGAGTATGCAAGTTTTTAAGGAGTAAGTACACTTGAATATGTGCTACTCAGGTTTGTCTGAATGGGTATTTGTGTGTGCAGTGAGGAGGAGGAGCTGAGGAAGAGTCTATCAGAGCTGGTGGAGGAGCAGTGTGAGGGCGGGAGTAAGCGTGTTGCCAGGGTAACGGACAGCAGTAACCCTTTCATCGCCATTCCCATTCTCTTAAATGCCATCACCTACAAACATGGAGTGCTGACCCGCAAGAGCCACGCCGACATGGACGGCAAACGCAGTGAGTGATTGTATACACACACACACACACAGGCTTGACTGAAGTTACCAAATTCTTAATAAGTTACTCTCAATTTTTGTAAATGTGACATAAAAAGTTTGTTATTTTTGTCGTCGTTTTGCTCTCTCCCAGCCCCGAGGGGTCGCCGTGGTTGGAAGAAGTTCTATGCGGTTCTGAAGGGGATGATCTTGTATCTCCAGAAGGTACTGCATCTCATCCTCTGCTCCGTTACCATAGAAACACACATCCACCACCGCTGTCAGTGCGGTGGTGGATGCTGCTAGCTGCTCTGCTCTGTGTGTGTGCTTGTGTGTGTGTGTGTGTGAGTGTGAGAGAGAGAGAGGGAGTAAGATACAGAGCATTAAAAGAGGAAATGAGGCATGGCTGCTCTACTGTGTGTTTGTCTCCCCCTGCTGGTAGGAAGGCTGTACTAACCACATGTAAGATTGTGAAATGTTTTAATTAGCATCTTTTTCTGTGTAATATTTTAACTGGGTTTTAACTTGATTATGTTAGTATGGATATAATTTATAGATTTACTGTTTCATTTAATGAGGATGTTAAGTAAGTCGATGTAGTCATTTTTATCTACTATAAAAGACAAAGTGTTTTAATGGACTGAAATATTAACATTTATGGTCTCTAAAAAATGAGACTTAAACTCCTGTTTGCCTTACCCAGGATGAGTACAAGCCTGACGCCGACATTTCAGAGGTGGACCTGAAGAACGCAGTGCGGATCCACCATGCTTTAGCCACTCGTGCCACCGACTACAGCAAGAGAGCCAACGTACTGAAGCTCAAAACATCAGACTGGAGAGTCTTTCTGCTGCAAGCCTCGTAAGTCTGATGATCTTTACGCTTCAGAAAACTCAAAAGTACAGCAAATAAGGTAAATACAAATAACTTTTTTTCTCCCATGTTTTCAATTTATGGCATCGTCCAAACATGGTGATGATGTATGCTGCCAGCCTGTGTAGCGCTTCTTTCCTAACAGAGTTTATAAAGTACTTATTAATGCAGATTGTAGCGACAAGGTTGGATAAGGATGTTGTGATACCTGAATCCGCTGTCATTTTAATTCCCACACAGTGGAATTTATCTTGCGTGGACAGGAAGAATCCTTCCTTGTGTTTCTGTGACGTGTAGGTTTGTCATTTTGATAAAAATCAAACGTTCCAGCGTATGAATCAAACTCCTCTCGAAGGTCATACAGCCTCCTTTTGTGTGTTTGCAGAGTTTGGCAGTCACAGGTGATATGTAAGCCTACATTTAAACTCAATCTGCAGCACTGCGACATAAAATAATCAAATTGAATTTAAAATATGTCATTTAAGACTTAAAGATTATGATTTTGAGTTTAGGCACACAATGTCAGAATAATAGTTGATACTAGTTGTAGATGATGAGATAATATAAATTAGAACAATTAGAATCATTTTCTGTAGCCAGTTGAATGTACCAGGCTTTTTATCTTGTAGGAGAATCTGTGTCAGTGTAGCAAAAGAAACATTTAACAGCAGTTTTCATTGGAGGCACTCACCTGCTCTCTGGCCCTTCATCAACCCCTCACTCTACTCTCGCTCTGGCTTTCCAGTAGTGAGGAGGAGATGATGTCTTGGATCTTCCGGATAAACCTGGTGGCAGCGCTGTTCTCCGCTCCGGCCTTCCCCGCCGCCATCGGCTCCATGAAGAAGTTCTGTCGGCCCATCCTGCCGTCCTCATCCACCCGACTCAACCAGGTACACACACACAGACTTAAATTAATTTCCTGGAGACTTACCCTAACACTAACCATAACCACTGACCCAAAAATCATCTTTTTTCTCTTTGGGGACACAGCTTATGTCCCTGACAGGTCGAGCCATCCCCAATTAACTGGTCTTTAGTCTAATGGAGCTTAAGTCAGACAGCACACACAGATGATGACAGCTATGAAACTCTGCTGGCTTATGTTTTGCTCTATATATAATTCATAATATACTATTGTCAGCGCTACAATAAATGTCTAGTTATGATTGATATTTTTCATTGTACATAATATACAGTTTATCACAGCAGCATGCACCATCCTTCTACATTAAAAATCTCTATGCAAGGTTGGGCGTTTTTACATATTCTATTTGTGTCCGCTTGCATCTGATTGGCTGTTTTGGGGGTCTTCCGGTTTTCATCCGGCCTGTGATTGGTGCAGGAGGAGCAGCTGCTGAGTCATGAGAGCAAGCTGAAGCAGATGAGCCTGGAGCTGGAGGAGCACCGGAAAAACTCGCCCTCAGCCGACCCCAAAAGCCGCGAGTGGGAGGAGTTCCGGCTCAAAGAGCACTACCTCACGTACGAGGTACAGGATTTATATAGCTTCGGTTAATTTGTCTGTTTTTTATGGTCAGTTTTTATGTTTTTGTGCTTTGTTTAGATAAGAGAAAAAACACTGCAGTGCCACTGTTGTTTAGTAGATCATTTAATATTTAATTTATAATATATGTTAGTAGCAAGGAAGACGTTCAGGAGGCACATATACAATCTACTGATAATTCAAACTTTATCAGTTTCTTTTGTAACATATAAATTGAAAAATGTATGTATGTAGGTGTCAGTCCTCATATTAATGCCTCAGTCAGGCAAAATATAAAACAAAAAAAAAAATATATATTTAAGCTATTAAAGCCTGTTCCCAGGTTAAAACTCGTTTCATCTTCTGCTCTCACTTCCTCTCTCCTCCTCCCCTCTCTCTGAGCAGAAGACTCGGTATGAGACGTACATCAGCCTCCTTCAGGCCAAAATCCGTGCAGAGACGGACGACCTTGAGAAGATCGAGGCCAGCGTGATGGGTGGCCTGATCATGGAGGGTGGCCTGGCTGGCCGCGAGTGTCACCTCCGCAAGACGCAGTCCTCCCCATCCATCAGTCAGGCCCACGGCGGACTGAATGGGAGAACCGCTGGATGCACTGCCCCGGGACAGAGGAGCTGAGGGGAGGAAGGAGGACCAGAGATCACAGCCCACAAAACTACATCCCTCCAAGCCAAACTAGCTTAATCCTCCAACTTCTTACTATGTTCTTGCATTCATTTTCTTTGTGTGTTTTGGGCTTCTCCGTTCCTCCTGACTGTCACTATCCTTCCCAGTCCTTGAGCAATAGATGAAGAAGATGAAGAGCCCGCGCTTGATACCCACCAAGTGACCCCGCCAAACCTCAGTTCTTCGAACTTTTATTATTGCACATTAAAACGATCCGAACTGTGATCACTATTTATAACATCATCAGTATTATTTTGAAATGAACACTCAGAGCAATGCAGTTGTCTTTGGTTGAAATGTGTTTTAAGTTCTGAGCAGAACTTTGAGTAATTTATAATGTATTATTTTAAGGCCAGATAGAGAACAAAGAAAGAGAGACAGACTGGCAGTCATTAAGACGGAGATGGTACTACTGTAGCATTCTGGCCTTTTTATGTCGCTCATGTTTACACAGCCAGCCAGCCACTCACAGGCGTGTGTACGGACCTAAAGTATGGGTGGACTGTGGTGTGTGAAGATGCAACATATCTGTCAAAGAGCTACAAAAAACTTCTCAGAAGGATCAAGTCCCTGCCATGTATAGCATATTTATTTATTTATTTAATTCTACAAACCTTTATTCGCCCCAGGAACGGGTTTACACTGAGCGTGCTTGCTCTTTTTCAGCGATTTCCTTTTTGACATTTCATACAGTTACATGAATTTGTAAGTTTAAAGGAGCTGCCAATCGGAAACGGCCGTGGTTTTAACTGTTTACCAAGCTGTTCCACTAGAGGAACTGGAGGTTGAGTGCCTTACTTAAGGGCACCTTGACACTAGTTGTTGAGGGATTTGGAGAGTGTTTCTCAGTCGCTTTGTCGGAGATCACAAGTCTGTTTCTGTGATTTGTAAGCTGCCGCTACCCCAAATACTGACACGTATTCAGTTATTCTGTTTGTTCCTACAACTCTCAAATGGAGAGGATAACAGTATGTGGCTGAATGAAAGCACTGTGCCATGTTCTGTTTTATCCCACAAACTACTCCTCTTATATCACAGAAGAGTGCACTGAGCTAAAGGAGCCGATATGTAACAATATATGGTTGGGTGTGATGTTTCTGAAGATCCACATGAAGGGCAGAACAGAAAAGTGTGGGAGGGAGGCGCATACCGTGTGAGTGGGTCAGCTGGTGTATGTGTGTGTGTGTGCACATGCATGTGAGTGTGTGCGTGTGTGCATGCACTTTTTTTAACTGGTTCCAGTTAAGATGTTGAAGATGTAGGCAATAGGGAGAAGTAAATATAGCAGGGTCATGTTTTTGTATGAAGAATTTATTGAGCATGTTTAGAAACAATCCAATGGCCTTCTGCTGAATAAGACTGCCATCACAATCAGGCCTGGATCTCTCAAAAGCATCTTCAGCACAAAGAACGCCATCAACCTCGTGACAAAAGATGTACCTTTACCTCTTAAAGCAGAAAATCAGTCTGCGTTCTGATTTATAACATGTTACATGGACCTATTATAGCTTATTTGGCCTCGCATTAGGCATTTACTAGTACCGGTGTGTTCCTTCCACTGCCATCCTTCCTAACAGATGAAGATGTTTTTGGGAAAGCAGGCCTCGGTCAATCTTAGACAGAGACCGGCTGATTGGAGAGTGTAGCAGCAGGACTGCTCCAGCTTAACGTGCTTAAGTCAAGAAACCTGTCAGCATACTGGGATGGAAAGGGGAACAGCAGCAAAACAACTCCACCAGCAGAGTAGCCATCAAAACATCCTCCGCGTGAACGAGGAGGAGGAGAAAAGACTTGTTTTCAACGAAAGAGGCTGGTTTGGTTTTCTAAGTAAGGCTGTCTTTAACAGCCAAGAACAGGCAAAACAGTCATCCAGCACACGTTTCCAAATGGAGGAACACAACAGATTAAGCCTGTTTCTTATGGAAGGAGGTCTTATGTATGGAGGAAGTGGGGATGTGGTAGGAGGGGTGGTGGTACCGCTGTTTGTGAGCACCTTAATTGAGCCCAACCCACCCAAAAACAAACACACACACACACACACACACACACCTTTCCTCTTTCTATGTAATTTGCTTATGACACAACTGTAGACCAGTGAGCTTAGTGCCCCCTCACTCAGCCTCAGTGTGGCACAGAAGCATGTTGACATAACCAGAGCCGTGGATATCAACAGTATGAACTATCATGTCTTTGGCTCTGGACACAGCGCTTCTGCTGCTTCCTATATATATCATATTAATAGCGACTGATGGGGTCTGAGATCCTTTTGGGACTTGGCTGGAAACCTGGAATCGCAGCTGGAATCCTGGAACCGGATCCTTGTACAGACCAAAATGCTGAAGTGGAGTTGAGTTTTCAGAGAGGAAGTACCATTTTATAAAGCTGTATTGTTAGGATAAATAACTGCTTTCTTACAGGGAGACTTCCCCTTATAGTCACTTTGGCTGTTGTGCTAACCATTGTTTCCCAATGTTCTAGGGTAGGCCTGTGCTGTAATATAGGATTGTGACGAAAAATATTTGTTGATTGTTATGTTTTATTTAAAAAATGACAACTTCGGCACTTTGATGTCAGCATTGGATCTGTCTTTTTGTTTGTATATCGGAACTGTTTTTTGACAGGATGCTCATACTATGTAAAGGACATATTTACTGAATATTTAGTCTGTGCTTCATAAAGTAAGCTTTTATACAGATGATTGTGGTTGTGATTTATTAAGATTATCAACTACTAAACAAGGTTTACAGCTGTCTGCAAACCCGGGTGCCATTTTTAATATTAAATAGATATTAATTTGTGTTAGAATGTGAACACATGTTCTTCAAAATTTTAGTGCTATACACAATTTCCAACATACATGCTTATTGATATGTTCAGCCTGCATTGCCAAGCTAAATATGAAAGTTAGCATGTTAGTCAAATCCTGGAAAAACAGCTGTTAACTAGACCAAAGTTGTAAGCATTTAAGCACCTGATAGTCACAGACAAACAGACACAGTTTGTCTACTCATCCTGGAACAAGATCACCTTTACAGTCCGTATCTCAGCAGGTGGCTGCAACCAGAACAAAACAGATTCACAAAACAGGGCTAGTATGATATTTGATACATGTATGATGCCTGCATACATTATGTATCCTGCCATAATACATAAACTATATTAACTTCACAAACAGACACATACAGACAGTATGACTTCTTGTGTATCCATGTAGCTTTCACAGCTTTGGCAAAACAATGAGCAGCTTTTAGTAACTTACAGTGTAACTCAGTGCTGTATAATATCCCTGTTTTACTTTTAATGCATTTAAGCCTAAAGCTTTCCCTCTCATAGTATTTCTCCTACAACAGCAGCTGAAAAAACACTGATTACATTTGTAAACTCGTGACATGATACTGGCTGCTGACACAGATAAGTGTCAAATATGCATAGCTAGTATTATTATTGGTTGTTTTGACTGTGAAATGACTGATCTATAATTAAATCTTAGCTACGAAACCAAAATACTTTAACCTTTTCTGTTATAGCCTATTGAGCTGACTGGTCTCCTATATGTCTTTGGATAGGCGGCACAAGATAAACATTTCCTTTTATTTTTAGCATGGTATGTCAGCATGTTGGCATATCCAATAATAATCCATAAGATCATTCTACTAATAATGAAATGATTTCTCCACATTTAAAAAATATTTTCCTTAATTAATAACCCTTCCTGTAAGTAACCAAATACACATTAAATAATAATAATAATAATAATAATAATATTTGGTAACATCACTCATTTTTAAAAAGTTTTTTTAGTGCACTGTCCAGCCTGGTATGATTCACCCTGGACTCCCTCTTACTGTGATTTATGGGTGAGGAGGTTAAATAATGAGCGTTCTTGGAATAAGCATTTGTCCACATTTTACACAAAATATGCAGTAATTTGTCTTGGGGACATAAAAAATAAAAATAAAACAGGTACAGGGAAGTGGCCCTTTTAACACAAATTGAAACCTCACCATAGTAGTAATAAGATTAATAATATATCTGTAAGGAAAGAGCTATAAAAGGTTAGCACAGTAACACATTGGCAGATTAACACTTTAAGTAAATTACTGAAAATGTGAGTGGGTTTAATATTTTCAAACTATATTTTATATATTTGTAACTGTGTGTCTGCAAAGGTTTGTTTTAAACCCCAAAAGTGTCGAGTAAACCCATTTTAACCTACAGACGTTTCTAGCTGGCTCTTATTAGGGGTATTGTGCTCATTCTAATGACTACGAAACATCTTCCAGAGTTGTAAGAGCGACCAACAAACATGGAGCCACCGAAGGTCACATTAGAAGATGAGCAGCTCACAATGAAGGTCTATCAGGTGCTAACAGCCTGAGAAAATACTCTGTGTGTGAAACATGAAGGTAAGATTTATACTTTATTACTTTAAATGAGCAACATGTAAGAATTGAGCACCTGTCGATTGCATGCTCCAAACAAATTGGGAAAGGTAGTGTGTCAACAAAGTCCCTCCCATAGGTCTAACTAACAAACATTAACACTGTCAGCAACATTATGCAATTAGCTACCTTTATGAGCTATTGCTAAATAGCCAACGTTAGCATTAACAGCTGTTTACTTACCATCAAACTTCATCCCTTTACTCTCCGAGAGCTGTCTCCGTTGGTGGGAAGCGACGCCTGTTTATATTTGCAGCAGGGTGGATGCAAAAAAATTACAGCCCCCCACAGGTTACTTGTAAAACTTGACAGAATTTTATTAAACCTTGTATTGAGTCCAGTGCATCAGCTCTTTCTTCGCCACCGAACGTGGTTTCTTGCCCTTCACTGTCTCACGTTGGACTGAGGGCAGATCGGACGCTACAGCGAAGTGGTATTTAGAGACAGGAAGGGCCGGGGCTAGCTGGTTAGCTTGCCAACTTCAGTAGATATCTGCAACGTAATCCCTAGACGTTTTTGACACATCGTGAAAACTGTTATTCCGTTTTAATTCTTCAAAAAATAAAATTCTTACATATAGAGCCTTTAAAACAATATTTTTAACCTTTAAGACAAATGAAAAGAAGTCACGGATAAGACAGGACAAAGTTGGAACCGTAAACTCTTCGTCAAGAGCGGGGTTAACTTTTCTTAGGAAAAGCACAGGTGTTACCATTGACATGGCTCTGTCCCCGTAAGCTACTGTGACAAAAATAGCATAAGCTAGTAAAATATTGTAAGCTCGTAAAATGAAATGCAGTCTCAATTAACTTCATCATAACACCTGAGCTTCTCCTGCTGGGACGTCACAATGTCTGTTGTAACCTTTGCAAACGGCTGCGTCACCTGTTTGATGCTAATTCTCTCTGACATTTCAAAAGGTAAAACATTTTAAAAATCTACTTGTTTTTGTTGGGTATTGTTTTAGCCACTGCATTTTTATTTTAATGTGACAATTTAAACATTATTTTAATGTAAGTTTTAAAGCACGTGTTTCAACAGGGGATTGTCATTTTATATTCTTTTCTTTGTAAGTGTATTAGGTGTTAAGCTAGTTTGCCAGCTAGCTAGTTTCACAAATGTATCAGCATGGTTACGTGGCCATCAGACTCACCACAGAACCTTCTGGATGTCGCGTCTTCAGCAACACGGTTGGTGCTTCGTGAATTTGTGCAGCATCCACTGTGTTTGAAGGTGAAGGTAAGTACGGTATGTTTCTGCTCCTTAAGATTTTAGAATCCCAGATAGTTTATAACAGAGCCCAGATTAGATAAACCCAAAATTTACTTAAATCTAATTTGACATTCAGTTCCAGTTAGCCAGTAATTGCATTAGTTTGATATAGAGCAGATGACTGCAAAAAGGCCCCACAATTGAAAAATGAGGGACTGTGTTTTTCAAATAAATAGATACTGTCCACGAACGTAAGGATGTAGCTTCCAAGCTGTGTTAGCACAATGCTATCTCCAGTGTAATATTGCAGGGTCATGTATGTGTCATACAGGCAGCTGCCAACCCTAAAAAAGGATTTGAGAGTTTGAGAATTGTTCAATAAAAAAAGAGAATTTATTTGAAAAAATGTCTGAAGATTTGAAAGTAAAACAATTTATCGATTTCTAATGCCACTTTTAGATATTTCTATTCAATTCAAAAGCAAATATCTAGGTTGTTTGTGATTAAATCACTTGTTGTGCTGGTTGGGATAACCTATAATTAATTCCACCTGTGTAGATTGTGAACTTGGCAATACACGACAAAGAAGGACATCTTGCCCAAAACGTCCACGTGGCATTCCATGAATATTTTTCCAAATCCGCCCCTGGTGTCACTCTCAGAAATGACTATAAAATATTTTCATTACTGCACAATGAGTTAAAAATATGAACTATAACTATTTCATGGTTAAAATTTCACTTTAGGTATGAATCATCTTAGCCCGCAACTCCCACTGTTCTTCACATCACCGCCACCAGATCTGCTAGTTATAATGTTTGGTTCACAACAGCTGAGAATTTAATGTGAGGCACTGTCAGTTTTACAGCATTTGATGCAGTGACCTGTTGCCTATTCAAAAATCCTCCCCTGGCCGATAACAGTTAATACTGTTACTGTCAACAACGTGTCGTCTTTCCTACTGTGGCAACAATGTGGTGCTCTACCTTTCATATTTAACATGGAAGTCAAAAGCTGGTATCTGGAGCTCTGTTTCAAATCCGATCTTTGCATCCACTGTTGCTACTCTTCTAATGTGTTTGTACATTTCTTATTCATTAATACATAAAGAGGCTTTCCAAGGACAGCTGGAATAATTCCTCTAAAGATAGAAATAATTACAGGTAGTTCATCTCATTCATACATGGTCTTTTTATATTTATAAATCAATGCAATATTGTATGCATATATGTATTAAAACAACAATAAGTAATGGCTATTTTAAAATGTTCAATATTCAGCCAACAGATAATGAATTTAAATATTTTTCTTTTCATTTTTGTTTGTAGTGTTGAGACAGTTGTGCGGAGACAGGGACGTGTGGAATGACTTTTTATTGCGCGATTAGTCATTTTTCAGACAACAAGGCTCCCCCAACATTAAAACAAACAGCAATGTACAAAACAGCACACCTTTTTTTGCCATCAACGGAAATTTAATAAGGTAGTGAGAGTACATAACAGAAAGTAATGAAGTGTAAGGACGCGAGTTATGATGATGTTGAGATGTATAGGATGAGCTTGATGTCAAAGCCAAAGTAAGCACCATCGTCATGTAGTCAGGAAAGGCCATATTTCAGTAAGAAATATTCTAGAAGGGGTGAGGAGAGGTTAAACATGATACAAGAGGGTTGTTATCACAGTTTTCAGACATTTTTACCAACTAAAAAAAAGAACAATATCGGTGTAGCACTACTTTATCATGCAATTTACTTTAGTAAACCTTCTGACACACAGACAAAATATACTTCAATAAGTAGAACTCAATACATCTCTGTCCAGCAATAGTCACAAAGCCTGTAATTTATACTCTTTGAATGTGAGATCCCTATCAAAAATAATATGCAGATTTTTATTTTTCTTAATATATCTAAAGTGCAAGTATTTATCCATTTTTATTCAATGCTTTCTGTAAGTATAAAATACAAAGGAAAAAAACAGCAATATGTTTTTCCTGTTTACATGTTATATTTTTATATAACAAACCATATATATATATATACACACACACACGCCACAGATAAAATATTTTTTAAAGATACAACATATTATCTCATATGGGGATGGTAAAGGGATTTAGACCAAACGGTGACATGGGATATGTTCATTGTGCATTGACCCCACCCCTTAAAATCCAGGATCCATTTCCCAACATCTTCAAAACATTTGAAAGAACGTCTTTATAACTATACACAACAGTAGCCTATACAGTCTGCAAACATGATGGACCCTACTACTCGGTGCGTGTGCAAACAAGAAGACGTGCTGAATGAGCTCCTCTGTCAGTGGTTTGTGATGAGTCATATAGTGCTTGGCTTTGACCAGAGGCTGCGATTGGCTGTGTGATTAACCAGGAACTCTGAATGGCCAATGAAAGACTACAACACTGAAACCAGGAACAGAGCAGATTTGGTTGTCTGGAACACCTTATGGTAGTTCAGTTTTGCTGTTACAAGTCATGTACATGTTGCTGTTTGGATGCGGTCAGAAACGTAAATAATCTCCCCGTTCAAGACAGAAGGAACAAGCAGATGAAACCTACAGCTGGAGCCATCATAGCAATCTGACTTTGAGTTCATGCAACAAGTAGCTACTGCTTTTGAGCTGTCTACAATTTTACAATTTTCTTCTTCTGTTCCCATCAGTTTAATAAATGTGTAAGAAATGGTCTGGTCACCTGTTGATTGAGCAACAAAAATACGCTCTTTGAAACGGAATTTGACTAGATGGACACTGCAGCCTTAACAAACAAATTAGGGATTGCTACGATGGCTACTGCTGTATAATAAATCAAAACACGATTCTCGTCAATGCCAGTTTCAGTGCAACATCACCCATGTACACTGAACCTAGCCAGAGCCACCGAGGACAGCACACGGCTTGACCACTGAAGCTTTATACAGAAAACAAGGCGAACAACATCTGCCTACCATTTTGCATTTGAGTCCTAGAAATGGATGACCGTGTAATGTGGGCGCAACATGGCTGCAAGGTCACTCCAGGTTTTGCTGTGACACTGGGTGAGCTCTCATAAACGGAGAAATCAGATTTGATCACACTGTTTTCAGCAAAATCACAAGTGCCCCCCCCCCCCCCCCCCC